TTGAGAAGAAACTCTGTCTAGCTGTGGCTAGTTCCACATTGAAAGCATGAAGGCTGTCTTTATATATGCTATAATGAATTTCAAGTTTTGTCTTCCGCCACATCTGCTCAGCTTTTCTGCACTGGACTGCTCTGAACTGAATACTCTGAACTGCTTTTTATTTTCTCCAAGCTGATTTCTGTCTGCCAGTCTTCTTGCTGACTTTCACAGGAGCAATGTCATCGATAACATTCTTAACTTTAGAGTTAAAGGAATCAAGGGAGAAGGTCAGAGTCTGCAGAAATGCTTGGTGTTAGAGTTATAGCCTCCATAAATAGCACACTAGTGTTCTCGTTAATGCATCTCTTATTGACAGAGACAGATCTAGATGCAGTGGTAGCAGAGACCAATATTTCAAAGAAAATACACAGTGCTACGTCCTTAATAACAGTGGAAGAAATGTTTAGATCCCTACTAATTAGCTAATCTAGAGTATGTCCATGATTGTGTGTGGGTCCATGCACATGCTGAATCAGGTAAAAAGTGTTTAAAATAGTTATAATTTATTATGTAGTTTAGATTTCTGCATTATCTATGTGAATATTAAAATCCCCTGCAATAGCAATACAGTCACACTCTGAGGAAATCATTGATAACATTTCTGTGAACTCTTCAGCAAAGGCTGGAGAGTATTTTGGAGGCCTGTAAATAATGATAAACAGAATGCGTGGAGCACCTTTCAACACAATCCCTAGATATTCAAAAGACAAGTACTGACCAAATGACACTTGCTTGCATTGATAGACATCTTTAAATAGAGCAGCTACACCTCCACCTCTCCTAACAGTCCTGCAGACACTCATGAAAGTAAAGTTAGGAGGGGCTGTTTCATTGAGAACTGTTGTACTGCAGCTGTCTTGTAGCCATGTTTCGTTTAGAAATATAAAATCCAGCATGTTTATGGTTAAGTCATTGATTAGAAATGATTTATTTTTTAGTGAGCAAATGTTTAAAAATGCTAACTTGATGGCATTGGTTTTTGTCTCAACAGCAATCTTAGTGTGATGCATAACAGGCCGCAGATTAGATGAGTCAGCCGTACGGCTTGAGAAAGTCTTAAGACTTTCTATCACGTAATAAAACAGAAATAGCGAAAGCTACAGGCACACTGGGTTCCCGCTTGTTCTGTAAACATTTGTGAATGTTGCTACTATCATAGCGGGGACCCACCACATATCACTGAGAGCTGCTATCAGTTGTTTTTGGTTCACCTACAGTAGACGGAGGGTTTGGGCCCTGGCATTGTGGCAGCAGCCCGGAGAGCTCTCACAGGAGGACGACGACGAGCTGGGCTTACAGGCTTTAGTGGTTGGGGGCTCGCCTTTTTTAGTTGATATCTGGGGGCTTGCAGCGAATGAGTGGGAGAGTTTAGTCCCAGCATAAACCAGTTTCTCCATTTTCTGTGAGAAGCTTAGAAGTGGAGATGCTGGAGAGAGGGATAATGTGTCTGGTGAGATGGGCTGTCTCTGGTGTTTCCGGTGGCTGTGATATGTTGTCCTAGCTTCCCTGGCTGTTTTCAGAAAGTCGTCCTTGGGTGCTGAGTCTTGGAGCTGTTCTGATCTGTGATGAGCTCTGTGGGCTGGGCTCAGCCGGGATGTTGTCCATGAGCAGGGCTTGTTGTGGCTGTGTGGTGTTATCAGTGTCCTTGTGGGATGTGTCAACCACATGACTCGGAAGCTGATATGAAGTCCTGTGGTCACTCATACTCTGTCCAGGTGTGTGTGTGCCATTCAGGGTTGAGAAGTTTGGCACACTCTGCTGAAGGATGACGGAGGTAGAAGTAGATATTGTCCTTAAGCACTCTTGCACCAAGTTTGTTTGGGTGGAGGCCATTCGGTTTAAACAGTTGTCTATGGCCCCAGAAAAGATTGAAGTTGTCTATGAAATTTACTCCTTTTATATTGCAAGATCTTTGTAGCCATGTGTTCAGCCCAAGCTGTAGCGAAGCCGGAAGCAGTCATCTGTTCCCACGTAACCAGTTCCTGTTCCCACGTCCAGCCCAAGGGGGGCTCCTGTTCATGAGTTCAGCACTGAAAGCCCAGAGGCTCACAAATGCCCGCCCTCCCACCCACTCCTACCTCCTCCTCCTCTGCTGTCGTCTGGCAGCCCCTCTGCTCGCCCTCAGCTCACCATCAGCCCACCATGCACCGGGGCTGGAGCATCCCTTGACTCCGCCTCGGTGCGTGGACCCATCAGCTCCACCATGGCTCCTAGCTCCCTCCTCTCCGCCGGGCTCCCTCGTCCCTCCGGCTCCACATTGGTCTGGCGTCGACCATCCTCGGAACACCACTCCTCCGGCTGCGCCTCGTCTCTTCGTCCCTCCGGCTCGGTCAGGCTTCTTCATCCATTTGGCTCCTCCTCAGTCCTCTGTCGCTCCAGCTCCACCGTGGCCTTTCGGTTCCACGCCTCTGTGTCAGTCACCAGCGCCATCTGCTCCGCCTTGGCCCTCCAGATCCTTCCCGTTGCCCTGACTCATCGGCTCTCCGTCTCCGCCTTGGGCTCCTCCGCCACCTGCTCCGCCGCCGTTGGTTGGCCCCCTGGAGTTAGTGGCCATTCCTCCTCCATGGCTCCTCCCTCCGTTGGCTCCACCGCGGCCTTTCGGATCCACGCCTCTGTGTCAGTCGCCAGCGCCATCTGCTCCGCCTTGGTGGCCCCCTGGAGTTAGTGGCCATTCCTCCTCCATGGCTCCTCCCTCCGTTGGCTCCACCGCGGCCTTTCGGATCCACGCCTCTGTGTCAGTCGCCAGCGCCATCTGCTCCGCCTTGGCCCTCCGGATCCTCCCCGTCGCCCTGACTCATCGGCTCTCCATCTCTGCCTTGGGCTTCTCCTCCACCTGCTCCGCCGCCAATGGTTGGCCCCCTGGAGTCAGCGGCCATTCCTCCTCCATGGCTCCACCGTGGGCCACCTTTATGGCTGTGGCCTGGGTCCAGCTTGGCTCCTCCTGCTCCAAGCCCCTCCTGTTTCCTCCCTGGCTCCTTCCTTACCACCCTGGACTCTGTCAGCCCGCTCCCCCCTCCCCGGTGGAATTGTTACGGTGCGGGACACGCCTTCCGGGAGGGAGGAGTAATGTCACGCCCCTGGACTGGTTTTCCCTCCCCATGTGTTTTGTGTCCCAGTTAACTAACTCGTTTCATACACCTGTGTTCTCCTGATTGCTCTGTGTTTAAAGGTACCAGTCTGTGTTTATCTGGTCTACTCGTTGTGTACGTGTGTTTGCTCCAGGGCCCTTTGTGCGGATTTCCTTGTATTCCTTGGATTAAAGACAGTTTACGTTTCCTCGTGCATCCTGCGTGCTTCCTTCCAACAGCGTACCGTGACAATATAAGCTCAAACATAAAAACAAAAATATTCAATTTTTTTTAAATGTATAAAAATATGTTGCAGTGGTAAATGCTTTTAGAAACACAATGAAGCTAAAGCCACAATTCTACTAATGCTTCATTTCAAATTTCAGGACATAATCTCTAAAACTGTGAATTTTATTAAACATTTTCTAAGACCATGTCATGTGTGTTTTTAGAGAAGGCTAATAAAAGGCTAATAAAATTGATTTATGGCCCTCTGTAAGCTCTCCTGTGTGCTGCCGCCTCATGTCTGGCCCAGTCATGATTCTATTGTTGTCACGCAAAAAACCTTTCACACCTCCGCAAGGTATGAGACATTGTCCTCATTATTCCTGTATCATTATTATTTTGTTTTATTCAGCCATTAGTAGCCTTTATTCTGGCATTAAAAGGTTTACCAAACCACATCGCTTCAATCCCAGTATACATTTACCCAACTACTATCAAAAGTATATCTAAACAAATACAACAAAACATTTTCTTACATGAAGAAGAGCTGCACCTGTTCTGCAGCTGCATTAGAGATAACATTAGCATCAAGCTACATAAGACAATTTATGAGATTATTAGTACACTTTTACTGAAAACTCACTTTAAACCACCATCGAGTGTTTGTAATAACTTCCTTTTGCGATCACATGTGGAATTTCAGATGTACACATTCTTTATTGTTATGAAAATACCCCAAATCTCAAGAAAATCACAAACAAACCATATACTATCGTAATCGTGTGTTTATTATTTGGATATTTCTTGGGTACAGAGGTTTCTCTGTGTTTGTTGTGGTCAGATATCAATGCGGAAGATTGAAGGAAGCGCATGACAGGATGAGACGGGGCGGGATATGATGAGCAGTTATGATTGACAAGCGACGAACGAATCAGGTCTCTGTCAGTCACAGCGCGAGCACAGAAGAGTAAACACACAGAGACACCCCAGGGGGGCTGCTAATTCAGTGCAGATCGCGTAAATCAGTGGAAAATTAATAGAAATGACGATTCTATCTAAAGAAATATGAAGTAAACATGAGTATGGATATATATATATATATATATATATATATATATATACATGTATATGCATCTTTGGACTATAAGCCCTTATTGACGCTGTTCAGTGAATCTATATGAACACAAATAAACCGCTGCAGACATGACTGAATATGAATGCGTGGTGAATTTCTATTCTAAAGATGACACATATAGATTTATTATTTAGCACTCCTGACATAACTTACTAAATTACGGTCACTTTTTCAGCAAATAGCCTAAATCCAGGTTTGATGAGCATAAGAGACTTCTTTCAAAAACATTTTAAATAGTAATGTTTCCAAACTTTTGTCCTGTATAAATAAAAACATACAAAATCTAAATGTAATTGTTGTATAAATAAAAAGGTTAGGAATCATATTTGTTTCATGGGGGTGGGGGGCTCCAACATGAATTTTGCCTAGGGCCTCCTAATGTCTAGAACCGGCCCTGGCCTACACTCCAGGTCAAATAAAAGCCAGAATTAGGAAAATCATATGACATTCTTCAGAAACATCATTCATTTCTGTAGAGCTGTATTGTGAATAAGAATCAATTGAGTGAGGTCAGCTTTGAGAAAGAAACCAACCTGTTTGTTCCTCAGTCTCTTCATGTTTGATGCTGAATACTTCTGCAATCCTAATGTCTTCACTCTCCTCTTTAATAAACGCCATCTTTACAATAGTGTGTCACGTGGATGCTTTTCTGTGAGTTTGGACAAGATGAGAATAATTAACAGAAAGAAAATAAATCCAAATGTGTTACTCATGTGCAGATGCACTTTGCTCAAAAAAAAAAAACCCTTCATAAATGTTATACAAAGCATTACCATGTTACATTCAGTAATAAAACATACATTTAAGAGTTCTCGTTAGAAACATAAGATTGCCTGAACAGTTTGGAACACTTCAAAAGCTCAAAACACAAACCTTTCTTCAGCCAAATCACAACAGAGCAGGAGCCAGGCACAGCCTTATGAGGTCATATCTCCAATTCCACAATAAAAGTCCCATTCTCACACTAAAATCAGACATGTTCAAATACAAATATGTTCAGTTAAATTCTTGCTGAAGTACATATTTACATTTTTGTTGTTGAATGAAAATAATCGATGAGATTCTGTAAATTGTAAAAAAACAAAAAAGATTTATCAATCTTTAATTCAACAAACATTTGTCCATATAATTCAACTTTTTTTATAGGGCCACAAACTAAAAAAAAAAAAAAAATTCTGCAAAATAGTCAGGGCAAAGAATAATTAGTAGGCAGGACACCAAATAGACCAATGATAGGAGAGGGTTGAGTATTAAGCGAGGAAATAGCTGAAAGAGAATTGAAAACAGACAACCAAAATGAGGAGAGGGCAGGGCAGGAGCAAAACATGTGTATTATCTTCAGTATCATCTTCTGGTGCTGCCGTGAGTGACATTTATTATCATTTATCCTATGGATATGGATTTTTTGTGTTTTTGATTATCATTTATCCTATGGATATGGATTCTCACACGCCAAAACTCATTTATTTGAGAAATCAACTGCTTGCACTGAAAACAATGTCCCATGCCTGTGTGATTCCCCATTTACCTGATGAGGTGAGGAAGCAATGCTAAGGAAGAAGTGGCGATACTAGCCTACAGTACCTTCTGTGATCAAGGGGAATGTGAACTCACTGCCGAACAAGATCGACGAAGTGGCTACACTGGTGAAAAATGTCAAGATCTACAGAGAGTGCCGTTTGTTGTGCTTCTGCGAAATGTGGCTCACGACTAGCATCCTGGATGCTAACGTGGAGCTACCCAGCTTCAGCACAGTCAGGGCAGATAGAGACACTAAAGCTTGCGGGACGCAGAGAGGAGGAGGACTCGCTATATACGTGAACACAAGGTGGTGTAATCATGGGAATGTGAGCATCAAAATATCTAGCTGCTAGAGACATTGAACTTCTGGCCGTAAGTTTGCGTCTCTATTACTTGATGTTACGACCCAAAACCAACTTCAGCTCGTTAAATCTAATCAGAGAGGCAAGGACCGAACATATAAGAAAATCATAGACGACTGAATGAAGCTTTGATGACTATTTACGCCATAAGATTGAATCCAAATGCAAAACGAACAAACATACAAAATGTTATCCACAAATATACTGTAATGAACAAAAGATTAACACAAATAATAACAGTAAATAGATAATGCTGCTAGGAAAACAGAAAACCTTGACTACCCCTAACCACCTAGAGAGATCTTACCTAGCTCCCGGGGAAAATAAAGTAGGTGAGTCTTGTGAGCCACTGCTTACCTCGCTAGATCTAACTAAATAACAAAACATGAACTAAGAAAAATAAATCCACAACCTGCTACTGAAAAGACAAACAAATATTTATAAAATAGATGTTGAAAATTAATTAGTTAAAAAGTAAAACAAAACAAAACAAAAAACAATTAAAAATCAAAAAACAGGATCACTCCTGCAAGGAGAGGAGAGGAGATGAGCAATCTCGCCATTAAGGTGAGAGACCCAAACAAAGAGCGAGAGACGCCATCAAATTTTATATAGTATAAATCCCAGATGACGTCATTCCACTTTCGAGGATCAGGGAAATCCCTCCTCCCGATTCCACCTACAGGCTGAAATAAATAAATCACTCATGGGACAATTCCTCTACATGCATACCCACGTAACACTTGCCCAGAGAGTTCAGACATGCCATTGTTGTCATTGTTTACATCCCTCCACACGCCGATGTGGAGGTAGCATGTGACGTCATCTATTCTGATGTTGCAAAGTTACAAACACAGCACCCCGAAGTGCTTGTGGTAATCTCCTGGGACTTTAATCATATGACTCTGGATACAACATTTCCTGATTTATATCAGTATGTGGACTGTAACACCAGGGGAAATAGGACTATTGATTTACTGTATGCAAACGTGAAGGATGCATACAGCGCCACCCTGCACTGGGGAAAGCAGACCACAAACTTGGTTCAGCCTCTCTATAAACCAAGACTGAGGCACACTGAGAATATAGAGGGGGTTGTTGACTGCACTACTGACTTCATCAACTTCTGTATGGACACTGTTGTTCCAGTAAGAACTGTACGCTGCTATGCAAACAATAAGCCCTGGATTATGAGTGACATCAAGAGTCTTCTGAACCAGAAGATTGTTATCAGCAGGAGCTTAAGCGTGTGCAGAGGGAATTCAGAGTCGAGCTCAGGAAGGCAAAGGAGCAGTACAAGAGGAAGCTGGAGCAAAAGTTGCAAAACAACAGCATGAAGGAGGTGTGGGATGGGATGAAGATGATCACCGGATGCAGCTCAAAGCAGAGGGACACCATTGAAGTGGTCTTTAACTCTTTAACACCTCAGAACACTGCACCCCTATACACTCCTTTGTCTCATTTTGTCCCCCCTGGAGGAAACTTAAGCACAGAAGAGAATGTTACCCCACCCATGATCACAGCAGCCCAGGTGTGCGGAGAGCTGAGGAGGCTTCGTCCAAGCAAAACAGCTGGTTTAGATGGAGTACCTCGACTACTGAAGGCCTGTGCATTTGAGCTGGGCGATCTTCTACAGCACATGTTCAACCTAAGCCTAGAACAGGACAGGGTCCCTTGGCTGTGGAAAACATCATGCATCATCCCAGTCCCAAACAAACCATGCCCTGGAGAGCAGAATGCTTCAACCAGTCACCCTGAGCCACCCTGACAGGCAGACCTCAGTGCGTGCGACTGGGGGAATGCAGGTCTGACACTGTGGTCAGCAGTGTGGGAGCGCTGCAAGGGACTGTGCTCTGCCCGGTTCTGTTCATCCTATACACGTCGGACTTCCAATATTAGAGTCCTTTCACATCCAAAAGTTTATGGATGACACTGCGATAGTGAGCTGTATAAGGAATGGACAGGAGAAGGAGTACAGGAAACTGATCCAGGACTTTGTTGCATGGTGTGACTTCAACCATCTGCACCTCAACACCACCAAGACCAGGGAGATGGTTGTGGACTTCAGAAGGCTCAGGCCTCAACCGGAGCCTGTGATTATTAACAGCAATAGCGTGGAGTTTCTATAGACTTACAAATACCTGGAAGTGCATTTGGATGAGAAAGTGGACTGGACTGCTAAGTCGGATGCTCTGTGTAAAAGAGGACAGAGCCGCTTGTACTTCCTCAGAAGGCATCTGCAAAAAAACTGCTGCAGATGTTCTATCAGACTGTATCAGACTGAGGGCGAGTGCCCTCTTCTATGCAGTGGTGTGCTGGGGAGGCGTGAAAGTCAATGCTGGCATTCCTCACTGTTCTGGACCATACTACATATTATTCACTATGTACCCTTCACTCTTTGTGTTTTGCACAGGACTTCTTTATAAACAATTTACACAGGGCTTAAATTTAAATGTATTACCTATAAATTGTTTAGTATTTTATGCATGCCTTTATTATTATATATCTCATTGTGCCTAAGTTTGTGGATACTGTTTGAATTTATGAATGAATTTCCCACTGGGATGAATAAAGTATCTATCTATCTGTCTATCCATCTATCTATCTACAGTAATGCTTGAAAGTTTGTGAACCCTTTAGAATTTTCTACATTTCTACATAAATATGACCCAAAACATAATCAGATTTTCGCACAAGTCCTGAAATCAGACAAAGAGAACACAATTCAAACAAATGAGACAAAAATATATATATATACTCTCATTTATTTATTCAGGAAAATGATCCAATATTACATATCTGTGAGCGGCAAAAGTATGTGAATCTCTAGGATTAGCTGTTAATTTGAAGGTGAAATTAGAGTCTATCTGTTCAGATGTGTTTTTAATCAGTGAGATGACTATCAGGTGTCAGTGTGCGTCCTGTTTTATTTAAAGAACGGATTTATCAAAGTTTGGTCATGTTTGTGGAAGTGTATTATGGCACAAATAAATGAGATCTATGAGGACCTCAGAAAAAGAGTTGGTGTTGCTCATCAAGCTCTAAAAGGTTTCAAAGCCATCTCTAAAGAGTTTGGACCCCACCAATCCACAGTCAGACAGATTGTGTACAAATGGAGGAAATTCAAGACCACTGTTACCCTCCCCAGGAGTGACTGACCAACAAAGAACACTCTAAAAGCAAGATGTGTAAAAGTCCACTAGGTTTCAAAGGACTGCAGGCTAACTTCTAAGCAACTAAATGCCTTTCTCACATTGGCTACTGTTAATGTTTATGAGCCTATCATCAGGAGAACACTGAACAACCATGGTGTCCATGGCAGAGTCGCAAGAAGAAAGCCACTGCTCTCCAAAAAGAACATTGCTGACCATCTGCAGTTTGCTAAAGATCACGTGGACAAGCCAGAGGAATACTGGATAAATGTTTTGTGGATGGGTGAGACCAAAATAGAACAATTTGGTTTAAATGAGCAGCGTTATGTTTGGAGAAAGAAAACACTGCATTCCAGCCTAAGAACCTTATCCCATCTGTGAAACATGGTGGTGGTAGTATCATGGTTTGGGCCTGTTTTGCTGCATCTGGTCCAGGACGGCTTGCCATCATTGATGGAACAATGAATTCTGAATTATACCAGCACATGCTGAAGGAAAATGTTTGGACATCTGTCCGAGAACTGAGTCTCAAGAGAAAGTGGGTCATGCAGCAAGACAACAAGTCGTTCTACCAAAGAATGGTTAACCCCTTAGCTGTCACCCCCATTTTCAGCATGGACACAAATGACATACCCAAAATAAAAAGGTTGCTGCTCATGAGTCTTTTTGACTAGATACATAATCAGCATATGTTCACAAAGCTGACACTTCAAAGTTTACTGTTCAGGAATCAGAATTACTCCGACTGTTATGATAATAAAGATATATAAGCTCAAAATGAAAACGAAAATAAAAATATTAAAAACATTTTTTAAATGTATAAAAAAATATGTTGCTGTAGGATATGATTTTGGAAACACAATGAAGCTAAAGTAACAAGTCTACTAATGCATTACA